GCATGAGGCAAGAAAAGAAGCATGAGAGAAAGAACAGGCTGAAAGAAAGAGGGAAAAGGATGACATTCAGTAGGTCCATACATCAATCAACTTACAGGGTAGGAAGAATTAAAGTATTTGCTCTGTGAAGAACTAGATGACACTGTCTACAGTGTTTTCCTAAGCTTCACTTGGCATGTCCTGGTATGAGTTTCTTCTTCTGAACACTTTTATTATGAATGCAGATAACTAACTACACAATGACAACCACCAGATAAAGTTTAATGTTCTACAATAACAACACCTGCCAGGAGCCGCAGCCATTACAGGACATAATCAAATCTTGAAAAACTTGAATCTTTGTTTTGTCCCATGGTGGTGCAATCTTTTTTAAAGTTATTTGAAAATTCATGGTTACATATGCCAAATGTAAAAACTTCTAAGCAATCAGTTAAGGTTGGTAAGAGGTGGAGCGGCAGACATTTGATACTTCTGAGTGATCCTTTAAATGTAAATGTAAATTGGTCTTCCATTATAAAAAAAAAAAAGTCCCTCCTGCTAATTCATTGGCATTACCTGTCATGTGTAATGTATTTCATGGATACATGTCACACAGTCACAAATACACAAAGGCACAAGTCCGTGGTAGCTCTGCTTAGTGCTAGTGTTCAGTGGGCCATAAAACGTTAAACAATATATTGCATGTGCATGCGTGGATTGCACATGTGAATGTTTATTCTATTTGGCCTCTGTCTGTGGGAAATATTTAAATCTCTTTTATAACAAATTACAGGAAGGAGTACACAAACTACTCATGGAAAACAAAAAGAAAAAAAGGTTAAATGCTTGAGTTATTATTATAATGTAAACAGGCTGACATTTTTTGTCAGTGTGCACCTCTCTTAGTTTAGGTCTCAAGCAGGCAAAAGAAGAAAAGTAAAACTTGTTGAATTATGTGATCTTTAAAATTAGCATTGGGAGATGTTAGTAGTTTGCTATATTTTATGTTCATATATGAAGTTTGAATCATCAGTTCAACTGGTAACTATCAATTCCAATTCAAGGTACAGTATAAAATAAAATCCCTTTAAACGTAAAATGAGAATAAAAAAGCAAATGTAGCAGCACTTGAAGTCTGTAACTGACTATCAATCACACTTGTGTTCTCATTTTCAAAATTCTAAAAGAATCTACAGTATGTTCCTTCTTTAAATTCCTGGTCAAAGACACCGAGGTAATATAATGTATTCATTGGTACTGCAAAATGCAGTAGTAGCCATCACACAAAATGTCTTAAAACTGTATGTGTCAAATGGTAGCAGTGTAAAAACGTGTGAATCTTTCACTGCTAAGAGAGTCAGGAAATGCTGTCACTCCCAAAATGCATTTGTAATGTGCCTCCCATAGAGGGCATAACAGTTACAGAACATCTTCTGTTCCATTATGCATGGCACATTATCATGTACATAACTGCAGAAAGTCACTCTGAGCATTTGATTTAAACCTGGACTTAAAGCTGATGATCCTCACATGAATTCCTGTGATGACTGATACAATACTGAAAAAACAAGGCTGATATAGCGATACATGTTTTGTGACAGATGTGTAAGTGTCTTGTTTCACCTTGTTTTTACTCTCTCTCTCATAAATGTTCACATATACCGGAAACACACAGGAACAAGAGGACACAATGAGCGAGAACCCTGACACTGTGTGCTTCTATTCAGCCGCGCAAGAAACAGGAAGGGGAAACGTCGCTTCCTGTGGAAGAATAGATGGAGGGGGTGGTGGTTACTCTCAGTGTGTGTGTGAGTTTATAGTGCAGTTCCATTTCTCCTGTTGTCTGATTGGTTCCTCCCAACCCGCAGTGTTAATTTAACTGCTTTTGGGTGGACGCTGCAGCCGCCCTGGGCCCTCATGATGATACAGCTCACTGAGAATGGTGACACTGTAAGAGGAGGGAGTTAGGCTTGGGGTCCTATCACTTTTGGCTACGCTTTTGTCCCACTAACAACAGTGAAGAGAAAAAGTCTTTGGTTCAGTATCTTTGTTTGTTGGGGGCTGGATGTTTTTGCACAAATCAGTTAATGGACTGAGCGCGTTTAAGAATACTAACTTTAACTTGTTTCAGTCCAAAACGAATCTGCTGACACAAATAAATCCTGTTGATCCATATTAGCTGGTTTAAGCTTGATTCAGTTACTTAATTACATTTTTCCAAAAGGAATCATATATCATTAGATATTGGGGATTGATGAGTTGTGGAAACCCCACTGGCTCATTGAGGCTATGCAATAAAAAAAAGTGACATTAGAAAAGGGTTAAGTCAGAGAATAGTTTGTGGCAGGAAGAAGACAAAAAAAGGAAAGTTCAAGATTATTAGTTTCAGTGTCCAGCACCATGAGCTTTGATAAGAACTGGCAGAGCAGAGCCCCGTAAAAGTGCAGAGTCAGTCAGTACAGTATAATGTCTTCAGTTACAGCATCAGATCTCCACAGACTATACAGTAAGGTACAGGAGGGTAGGGTGGGGTGTGGTGCAGAGCAGCAGAGGGCAGCAAACTGCTATGGGAGGGGCACCGAGGCATATGGGTCAATTATCAGAACAGTACTGTGACAAGACATGACAGAGTGGGGCAGCGTTGAGGCAAAATGGAAAACAGCTGAATAATATGAGAGACAGTGGCAGGGCAGAGAATCTCAGTCTACAGCAAAACATAGCCCAAGGGACAGTTTGGGATAAAGGCTGTGAAAAAGATGAGGTGCATGTCTGTGTGTGTGTATGTTGATTGTACAAAAGGTGGTAAGCGTGCTGCTGTGCATTTGTGTGTGCACGTCAAAGAGAAAGACAGCAACTTACCATGCAGTTCATAGCAAAGTGATTGTGCTGGGTCTGCAGCTCAACAGCATGCTGGTGGTTTGCTCCAATCTCTGTATAACTGGTGAGGAACAGCCCTTTGTTGTGCATGATCCAGTCGAACATCTGCCCATGGAAGAGGGGGAAAAGGCACCATACAAATGAAAAGGGTTTTTTCATTTATGTGGTGCTGTTCTATGTGCCCTCTCTGTACATGTTGGTCAAAAAGGAGTGTTCAGTTACATTCCTGACACCTTCCATAGCAGGCCTCTGCATATGCCTCCAGCTCTGCACGGTTCACATACAGTAGCTTCATTTCCCGGCCTTTCCTCTCTTCAAACCCTGACATGTGGGCACATAGTCACACATCCATTTAATCTCTGTTTCCATGGCCAATATACAAAACAGGCCTTGATATGGATGAAAATTGATCTGGGGACTTAAATGTCTGGATTAATGCAATTTCAATCAGTTTTCAATACCCAACTAAGACTAGAATGGATGCATGCTCATGCATCACATTAGCTCCTGTGTGACCTGAAATACTGACATGCATCAAGATGTAGCCTGCAGCATTTGGACAGATTAACATAGAAACACCAGAGTGGTGATGAGAAGGGTGATGAGGCACCCAATTAACTTTATCTTATAAATGTAATTATTGTGTAGATACTGTAAAGCGGAACATGTTGAAATACAGTACAATAGAATGGCACTCTGACCTTCTCAGCATCCTGTTCAAACAGACGCAGCTGGAAACACTGGTCTAGCTTCAGCTTCCTCATGTGCCACAGTTGCTGCAGATTCTGGCGTGTCCCATGCAGTTTATCCAACAAGCCCGTCACTTTAGCCACTAGGTTGTGTGCGTCCGCATGTGTATGGAACCCATGATGATGGTCGTTGGAATCTCCACTAGCTCCACCAGCACGGTTACCATACCCACTTTCACCACTACTCCCACCCCCTGCAGTTTGTGACTGTAGCCTTTGGAGCAGCCTTCGTCCCTGTGTATCCAGCTCCTCTACCGAGGCCTTAGTTGCCCTTTTCTTCAGTGCAGCATGTTCTTCCATAAGCCGCCGAGCCCCCTCCAGGTCCCGTGGAAGATCACGCTGGGACAAGGTTTCCTGGAGCTCCTCAAGACGTGCCAGAGCCCGTGCTGCATCACTGGCAAAGGTCTCAAATGAGAGCCGCACCTGAAATTAAAGTTAAAAATGCCCTGCATTTTCCAAAGTGAAGATAATATTGAATTAAGGTGAGCATTAATGGCAAGTCTCACTGATTAATTGTTGTTTTGCTGTTTTTCTAACTGAACAAACAAAAGCCTAGAGTCAAAGACTGTTGTCTTCTGTGTGATTTCTAAAGAGCATAAAGAATGAATGAAATGAAAAGAGAGTAAATATTCAAACCTCAATCCAGTCATCATGGTTGTACTCTAAGCTGCCCTCGAAGTCAGCAGTCAGCTGGGATGGGTCCACAAGCTTGGATAAACCCTCTAAAGAGACCATCACTGTCTAGTTTGGGTAAGGGTGTGTGAGACAAATAAAGTAGAAAGAGACAATAAAGAAGCAGAGGAGGTGAACAATGGGAAAATAGATGGAAAATTAGACAAATGATAGGAAACTTCAAATTATTTCCCAGTATTAAACCTAGTTTATGAAAAGAATGTGCAGAGTCTGTGGCTCCACATGTGTACAGTTTAGATAGGTGGGGTAAATAAATAAACAGATAAATAAATAATAACAGCAGTCAGATTTGGGGCTAGAGTCTGACTGAGTATGCTCCTGTAAAGATGCTATAATAGCAAGTTTTTGTTTTTAATAATCTCTTTTTAAACTGCAAGCAAACAAACACACACACACATACACACACACACACACACACACACACACACACAGGGGTAGCTGAGATGTGACACTAAAATAATAAAACCATCATCTTGTACTGTCAAACAATGGAACAACAGTTGTGACAAAGCAGCAGCATGTGAGGAAGTGGAGAACACATCTCGATCACTTCCCCCATCAAGAACTTTGCAGTCAGTCCAAAAGACTCAGACGACTTTGTTTTAATCATCACGTCCCACTCATAAAATACACATCTGATAGCATAATCAAAATGCTTGCGCAAAACTGAAGGTATTACTGTTGGGTTGAAATGCTTCTATGTGTCCTATATATCCTGTTTCCATAGTAACTGGGACAGGACTAAATATACCAGCATCACATGCCCACATGGGACAGAACTGTGCCACTGTCACTGAGCAGCTCTTCAGTTAGAGCTGATAAAGACTGATGTCTATGCTAAATTAAGCTACAATACGTTGTTCATCTTAAAGCATACTGATATATTGTAATGAACACTACCAGTAGCTCCAGCTGTAGTGGAAACAAAATAATTCTAACACTATATCCTCAGAAGAGCCTATGTTGAAACCAGCAGTTCATGTGCAACACAGCACAACAACAAAATTCAGGCTAAAAATGTTACAAGAATTAGTTTTGTGTATTAGAAATGGTTAAAAAAAATGTGTCGCCCACCTCAAATTCAAACTTGGAGCTGCCAAAGTTGGTCCTCTGCTTCTGCCAGAAGTTATCTGGCTTGATGATGAGGGCAACGTGGATACAAGAAGGAAAAGACTCCTGCAGGATCTTCAGCAGAGGCTTGATGCTGTCCCACTTAGAACCGCGCATGTCCACAATGACTGTGAAGCCATGTCTGGTCACCTCCTCACTGCAGAAACACAACTAAGGAGGTCAGATCCCAGGATAAAAAGTTAATTAACACAGGAGAAGATAGATATAACTTTTACATGATTTTATAATGGTGACATGAAACCAGTTTAGAGTATTAACCACTAACAAGTAAAGGACAAATCAGGTGTGACTGATTTGAGACTAAACAAACCTGAATGAGCTAAAGGATAATATCAAAGTATGTTGTTGACAGTGCCCATGCAACAGACATAGAGACACTATAACAACAAAGAGCAAAAAAGACACACTGTAAAAAGTGAATTTTGTAAAGACTTGTAATTCTGAAGATGCTAAAGGGAAAATAAAAGTGAATGACTCTGCACACAGAGTATCTAAGGAGGGAAAAAAATTAAAACATTCAAGTATTGAGATTCCCAGTGCTGCTTACCAGACGTCCTGCTGCTGTATAATTCCATAAAAGGTTGTTTCTCAGTGTTAAAGGCTTTAATCTCAATGTGTCTAGCAAGGAGACAGAAACAGAAGCAGACCCTCCCGCTCTAACTTACTCTGACCTCACTCTGAAAACTGATCGGGAGCCAAATGAACAGAGAAAAACCGAGAGGAGAGCGAGTGTGGGAGGGCAGAGTGAGAGGCAGATATAATAGTAAAAGGGGAAAGAAAGTAGAAATATTTGGACAGGAGAAAGGGAAATGAAACTGAGGAGAAGAGCCTCTGGTAGCCTCTGGCACACCTTTTAACCTCTCTAATCTTACCTCTTTACATTAGTTGAGCTTTTGGAGACTCATTCATCATTGTACACAAACTGCAACCAGTGTGTTCTGATTCATAGCAGGCTACTTGTTACTGCTATGACACCTGATATTGTCAGAGAAAGGTATTAAAAATATCATTTTTGAATAAACTATTAGTATGGCACCACCTGGATTTGAGAAAATGCAGATGATCTGTTTCAAGGTAAAGAATCCACATTTAACATGTTTCATTTAGTGTGACCCGAAAACCCCAAACCGATTAACAGATCAAAGACATAAACACAAGAATGAACAACAAAATGTCACAGTGTTTGCAAACCTTCAGCTACATTATTTAAACTTGACATGACCCTTTTTTAATGTTTATGCATGTCTGAAAAGATGTGAAAAGTTTGTGTTCCACGAGTCATCATTTAATTAATTGTTTGTTTTTGGACTTGAATACAGAATTGCAGATGACAATATTGTGGATATTCTTGCCTCAGACATCTCTGAACTCCCTACAAGAGCTACAGTATGAAAAAACCTGGACCCAGTTGTTGCAGTAACTGACCTAGGCCAGCTTTTGCCTCAAGACAAATCTTTTAACTGCTGTGAAAAAGACTGTAAAGCACTAGACATCACAGAACATGCGAGATCAGAAGCAGCAGAACAGACGAGTACAAGCCTCCCTCCAAGCTAATCGCTACTTTCTCCAAAATGAACAGTTCTGGCTACTGGTTATTTGTTAAGGAAAGGTGTGAACACATTATAAATGTGAACATCAGCTTGAGCAGAATAACAAGGCACAACAGAATACAACTCTGCAAGAACAGGCTACATGCTTCCTGCAAAGTTTTTAGACTGGCGTCCATACAGCAACACAGGAAACAGAGGAACAGGAAAGAAAAGCCAACTACAGTACATGACTTTGTTTAATTAGGAATGACCCACTCTAATGCTGCATTTCCACTATCAGAACCTAACGGGCAGTATACCCTGGACTTCCCTTAACCGTCACCAAGCATAGCCTCTGGGGTTGATGCAGATCATCCTGCTTTGTTTTTCTGCTGCAATTTCTCTCTGTCGGTCTCTGCTTAGAGAATCAGACTCAGCTTTATTGACCAGGTGTGTTGGACACATGAGGAATTTGACTCTGGTACAATGTGTATGTACAATGTTCTTCTGTAAGGCAACCAGTAGACAAGTAAAAAAGATAAGGCTGAGAGAACAAACAAAAAGAATGTGCAAACAAAAAAATTAATAATAACAATAAAGTACTTATAAATATAAAAATATGTCTACACACAGTTTAGATGGATTTTCCAGATAGATATATACAAAGGTATATTTACAAGGTACTACACTGAAGGTTGTCATTGGTTCAGTGTTCATCAGGGTGATGTCACGGAGGAAGAAACTGTCCCTGTGCCTGGTTGTCTTGATGCACAGTGACCTGTAACGCCGTCCAGTGGGGAGGAGTTCAAACAGGTTGTGTCCAGGTTGTGAGGGGTCTGCAGTGATCCTCTCCGTCCTCCTTTTGTCCCGTGAGGTGTACAGGTCCTCCATGAAGGGCAGGCTGGCACCGATGACTGTTTGTGCAGTCCTGACTGTCCACTGGAGTCTGTTCCTGTCCTGTTTGGTTGCTGAACCAAACCAGACAGTGATGGAAGAGCAGAGAGCAGGCTCTGATTTCTCTGTAGCACTATATCAGCAGCTCCTGGGGCAGCTTGAGCTTCCTGAGCTGGCACAGAAAGTATATTCTCTGCTGTGTCTTCTTGGTGATGGTCCTGATGTTGCCTGTTCCACTTCAGGTCCCGGGAATCAGTGGAGCCCAGGAACTTGAAGGACTCTATTGCTGATACAGTGTTACTGAGTATGGTGATGGTTGGGGTGGGGGTGGGTGCTGTCCACTGTCATCTCCACTGTTTTGAGTGTGTTCAGTTCCAGATTATTTTGACCACACCACAGGACCAGCTGTTCAACCTCTTGTCTGTAGAGGAGGGAGGGGCTGCTGCTTCCTCTCACACAGAGTCAGCTGTGTGTTTACACACTGGGCTTGTAATGCTAATGCTTGAGGTGTGAAGACAAGGACATTTAACCAATCATGGGCAACTGCTATGCCTGCATGCACTCCCTCCCCCTCGTGTTCCTGGTACTTCATTTTAGTACTACCTCCTGAGGGGTGCTGAAATTTAGCTCCCAGAACACACCTCAAAAGTAGGTCAGGTAGGTATAGTGGAAACAAACGCAGAACCCGTGGCGAGCGCTACTTGGCACGACATGTTTCAGTGGGTTCCTATAATGGAAAAACCCCTTAAGTGGACATTAGAGGTGTTACTAAACAGGGATAAATGGTAACCTACATAAAGGAGTAGTAGCTTCTTCTAGAGAGTTAAGAGGAAATGGGGGAAGAGGGAGGTTGAAACTTCGTAGAGAAACCAAAATGAAACCATCCCACCTGTAGCCTCAGGTAATGCATCGGCATTTTAAATCCAAGCGACGTGGGAAAGTCTGACAAAGAAAGCAATGAAATGTGTGCGAGTGTGCCTGCATAAGAGCCTGTTTTAAATTAATGCAACATCAAGAATAGAATCTATACTGCAAGTCACATATGATTGTGTACGATTGCATCCAAATCCCCCACTAATGCCTTGTGTATGTGTATTCATGAGCACAGTTTCTACCTGGGAATAGTAGCCAGGTAGGCTATGAGCCTGCGCAGGTCATCGGATCGTATTCTGTCGTGGTTACTCCGAGCTGGAAACGTGAGAACAGGACCTCCACGTCTGTCTCTGCCACCTGTGGGTAGGAATCAGAAGGCCGTCATTAGGTAAGAGCTACATGCCATTCATGCTGTGGTGCACTTGAGCAACTGTAAACACAGAAACCTAAGAATGACATGTACACGGAACTTTCAACTTTCATTTTAAGCTGAATAAATTAATTTACTGAAATTTTAAAATACAGTTCTTTCACCTTCAACAGCTTAGTCTGATGCTGCCAAGTTTAAGAAGGAAAACATAACCCACAGAAAACCTTCCAAAAAAGATCTAAAGTGAGGGCAGTAGATCTTTGAGATGACAGCAGCTAATCTGTGAGGGTATCATCTGTACATTTGTCTGCACTTAGTCATGACTACTCTGAGTCAAACTGAAGTGTCAGGGGTCACATTAGTCTCATGATGACAAGACGGGTAGAAGCCTTTCTGTGAAACCGCAGAAACAAACAACACTGGCTGTTATTGAACAGAGAAAAACACTCTCTTAAACTCACTTACAGTTACAGTATGGCAATGCCCATGCACGTAGCAATAATGACTATGGAAACTGGAACATGGCTTTAGAGGTCTTGGAGATTCTTCCGCTAACAACTACAAATTTTATTCATTCTGAAAACAATCTTGCACTGTATGAGACTGAATTCTCTTCTTTTATTCGAATGATCTGGATGAATTCACTGCACGTCGCGCACGTCATCTTTCTTATAAATTTGCAACTCTGGTTTTGTCACGATGCTCCTCACTGAAACAAATTGATGTCAGCTAAAATGAGCACAGTGCTGATATCATATCAACGATACAACGTCTGCTGTAACTGTATAAATCAAACCTGAGAGAAAGGCGACCTTCTCCTTGAGGATGGGAAGCACATCGATGGCCTTTATATCCTCATTGCGATGAAACCCTAAAACACAGAGAAAAACCAAACGGTAAGGAAGGCAGGAGGACTCTTAAACACGGCAATCCACTTTCTTTGACACACTGTGTTCCACTGTGTTACATTATACTGTAAGCATAGATGTGAACCTGAGAAAACACCACTCTGTTAATCGGCATTTCATAAAAATAAATTTAATCAGTGTGTTGGCTGAGCACAAGTGAGTGTCATTATGGGTTTGGTTACAATTAAAAGTCATGAAAAGCTCTGGCAAGACGAGCAATTGTTCCGTCATTAGTTCAGAAGCAATTAGCCTGTCTGCACATCAAATGAATTAATGAATGAATAATTAGTTAGCACATTGTTGCAGCACTAGATGTTCAGCCTAGCCTGGTATCCTGCCAAACATAGGATGTCCCACCCATGCTCTGTTACAGTATGTTCTTCAATTGTCAACTCTTTTGTTTTGCCTCCTTCACAGATGGCACATCGATTAATACCAGGAAGCAGGATGGAGAAAATCAACACACGCGCACACACATCAACTGACTTTTATCCCTGTGGTGTGATGGAGCAGTCCGTCATGACAACAACAAATTTAGATGGTCCGCTGACAGGGAAAATGTAGGAATGTGTGATATAGTCAAATATCCTGTCATGCTTTGTTAATCAATTATTCAGGATACTTTTATTACAGAAATGTGGCACATGAGAATGCACAGACCAAAGCAATGGAATGATACTGAATGAGGTGGGGGGACTGACTCTGTGTGTGGCTACACTTAGCTGACAATGTCGTCAGATATTCCTCCTTAGGCTGTGAGTTATCTGTGTCACAATTTTACAGTATATCCCTATACAGAAACATAAAGCAGCATGTAACTGAAGCTGCTTATGACAATCTTAAGTTATATAGATTTGATCTTATTGGTGGTTGTATGTTTCACTGTGTTAAACTGTATTATATTTTAAATCATTAATGCCACAGAGTTATAAGAAACAATAAACAAATACTGTCAAAGCAGATTGCATTGACAATGTAAAATTCCATAGAAAATGGCATTTATTTATGTCACTTACAGTAAAAGTTCCCATTAGCTGTATCAAGTGTTTATAGTAAAAAGAGAAGTGAAAAGAAGCTTAGAGTTGTTTTGCAAACTTGAGTTGAAGGATTTCGTGAACTTCTTTCACTGTGATAAATCACAACTTAGACATGTTGATGTGTATTTCTAAAAAATGATAAAATAGGATGAGAATGCAATCACAGGGGAAACATTTTATATATTTGGTTTTGGTAAACAGAACTTAGGAGTCATAAAGGGAGACATACTGTAGACGAAAGAGCTAACAACTTTACACAAACACCGTGCTGCTGTGACAGTTTTTAAACAAGCATTTAATCACAATGACTGTGAATGGAAATGAGCTATAGTAATTAGATAGTGGCTTGACTGTTGAGTGCTGAATCATGCACTCAAACACACTCATACCTAATGCATTCAAATAAAAGTCAGCCACGAATTTAAATTCATTTTATACTACAGTAGAAGCCATAATCTTTCACTGAAGCCAGCGATTACTCAGAGGTTAGTATTTGCTCTCAAAGTTCTAACATTTTTCTGTCTACACTTTCATAAAAGCAAGGAGAGGGAGTAGAGTGAAGGCATTTTTCAACATGAGTAACTAGCCTACAACTGTATCCTCCAGGTTGTAAATAAGTTACGGACTGAAGATATAGTATGACGGAATAAAAGAGATGTCGCAGAATGCAACGTGAAGACAGAGAGAGACAAAAAGACAGAGAAACAGACAGACATACAAAGATGGATCATAGGCAGATTGAGATGGAAAGGGACAGAGTCTTACAAAGTATGAAGTGACAGGACTAGAGAAGCACAGGCTGATAATGATTCAAGTGAGAGAGCATAGTGAAGAATATAAATACAGTGTACAGAGAGAGACAGAAAATAATACAGAGGAGACTGCTTAAAGACAGGCTAAATAACTCCTACAGGTTTTAATGGCTCCTATGCCATCAATTACAGCAGCACATTAGCTCACTGTAGGAAGTGGTCAGACTAGACACAACCTGACTCATGTATAACATCAAAACCAGGTGAGATGAGATGGGACTGAGGGGGTAAAAATGGTTTCATTCTCTTTCCAAGAGAGGGGCAGTCCCTCGCAATTCACACTCATAGTTTTTATCATCTCTCTCTCTGCTGCTGATTGTCTTTTGATAACCTGCTGCACCTGTTTCTCATCTAGTCCCATTGTATCTGCGCCCCACTCTCAGAGACTCAGCATGGCTTTAGCTGGAAAGATGTTTTACTGTGTGCATGTGTGCAATGAACCACCACACCACAGGGCACAAGCAGACAGAAACAGTACTCCACATGCACTTTGTGTGTTCACATAAGTGAGTGTGTGTGTGTGTGTGTTTCCTGTGAAGTGTGCCCAGGCAATCACTGTGGTGGTTTGCTGGTGCTGGCACAGAGTCAGCACTGACCTCTCTTATACTGCTGCAGCCCTGCTAAAACTGAGGTTCAGCACCTAAGATAGAAGCAGATGTGGCTGTCAGGTTTCATACCTTAATGCTAGAAACACTGGATTTTAAAGATAAAGTTGGAAATTTCCACATAGACATGTTGAATGACTGTAAAAAAAGGAAAGCAGCAAAATATAAACAGCTGCTTGTGAGGTGCAAGTTGCTTCCACAGTATGATGGTCTATTACTCATGACGTCAACATAGTAAAACAACGCCACAACAAGTACACATGCAAACACAGAGCCTTTCTCAGTTTTGTTTATATGCAGCAATAACCTGTATGATATCCCACAAAAATGAAATATTACCCTACACACAGTTCATGGAATCTCATCACAGCTTCTGACTGCACATACCAACGCACCAGAACACAGACATCCATGAAATTCTCTCCCCTCCTTCACTACACACAACCTCTCATTTACAAGTCTGCCGAGCATGAAATAAAGCTTTTCAATCACAGACTGCTTGTTCATAATGCGCTCATAATGAGAGTGATCCAGTGTACTGGCAGTCTGCACCCAGTGTGCATCAAAATGAAATACAGTGTTCGTCCAAGAAACAAGGTTGGTATTGTGAGCTTTATTTGTAATAATCCTTTTTAATCTAGAATTTAAAGCTGGAGATTGAAGATTTTTTTTTTCAGCACTCACTGTTATACATCTGTCCTTGCACATCTACAAATTAATAGGAAGCACAAGATTAGAACGGTGAGAGGAAAAGACCAATTGTACACATGACAGGTAGTGGATCATTTAGACATAAGTGATGGGGGAGTGGTGAATGCCAGATTGCCTTTTATGACACAATATGCGCACAGGCAAGAGTAGAAACACAGAAATTCACACATGTGCTTCCACTGAGACATCCTGATGCATACATTCATCAAAAGGACAATGACAGCATGTCATATGGATGGGTTTTGTGCTTGAGCTGGCTTGACAATGCATAATGCCCCTTAAAATGTAAGAGCTGTAGCAATTTGTCATAGTGGTAATTTACATTGTCACCACATTTTAGGTAGTTGGTGACATTCTCAAATGAGCCCCCTTATTATAGGTTTTTGCCATTTAATGCCTAACAAGTAACAGTTTAATGGTCAAAATAGAGGAACGCTGCAAGAAGAAGCCATAAAATAAATGTAGTTTTCTCCTTGGAACCTTGCCAAGCAAAACAGAGCTTAGAGATAAATAAAGTAGTTTTCGGTGCAAAACTGACACTTCATAATTCACCTGTTAACATCAGATGGTCAGTGTTCCTCGATTCACAGACTTGCATGCAAGTTCAGTTACAGTTTGGCCAGTCTTGAATAACGTAAACCTTGCTCAGTGATAGCGGCAGCTTGTTTAATTGTGTGTTTTTATGCAGCTCAAAGGCCAGCCAAGCCTTTTGGTTTAGCAGTTATATTCTAGTAAAGCACCCAACCACAGAATAAAGAGGTGAAGGCACAAAATTGTAGCTTACGATGCTCTGAATGCACTACTACAGAGCAGACTGTGTTTGTGCCTTGTAACCATTCTTCATACCAAAGATGAAAACAAACTTGGTTGCAGAGTGGTTTCTAGCAGGTTTTAATAATGGGGAATATACAGTATGTGCTAAGTTTAGATCAGATTGGAAAAGTTTATAAATCTCTGACCAAATTTGTACAGACTAATTTATTCACCTACTTGCATCATACTCCAAGATGAATGCAAGTGTATATTCATGTCATCATTCCATAGCACATACAGTAGGAGTGGTTGGCCTCAGTGAACTGTGCCAATCCTTTTGTTCCACTCCTTTAGACCACAGGCTAGACTGTACATGGTGCATCTACACAGCCTGGCATGTAGTGTGATGCCAATCCTCTGGCTCACAACCTTGTTAACCTCAAACTCGGAGCAATTACAAGCTAGGCTGTATACAGCACAACAGACCAGGCCTGCTAATTAACACTCCAGATATATTACAGTACAGGTCCCCTGGCTGTTGTCCGGATCAGCTCATCATGAACCTGATAACACAAACTCCAACTGCCAGTGAGAGTAACAGTGGTGAGATCCAAAGATGCAGAGCAGAACTATGAAATGAATGTTATACCAATGATGTGCACGCAGCAATATTTCATCATATAAATGCAATAAATGTGTTCTCATTGTTTATTTGAATAAGTCATACAGCACAGCTGTATAAATGTAAGCGCTTTTAGAATCTGGTGTCTGCTAGCCACGAAGATGTACATCGCATGTGACTCTGGTGGATTTCAAATGGCTCTTTCCTACTTCAGTTCTGGGTCAGAGCCCAGTATGTGAACCTTATTATGGATTTGTGTGAAAAGAGAGAACTGGGAGGCATTTATCACACTGCTCAGCCCAGTTTGGCTCAGACTGGCCTGACTTGGACCAACTTAGAATGCACGGCTTTTGGGAACAGCACAAAAACAGAGGAACTGTGGGAGTGGATTCATTTGATCATGTGTGTGTCTGCATCTGTGTGACTTTTGTCTGTTCATATGTGTTTGATAATGCAGCTCTGTATGCGTGCATGTGTAAGCCTGTCTTCTGACCTGTGTCCCACTGTGCAGGAGTAAGACTGACAGCCTTTGCCCTGAGAAAAGTAACGTCACTGTCATCCTGGAAACAACTAGCGCTCAGTGTCTACCAACAGGTTCTCTAGGTAGTGCTGTGGTTGTGGTGTCCACAGCCAATGTTGACAGTGTGATACCAGCCAGCTTTGTGTGTTTTTGTCCTAATCTTCAGTGGCTTAGACCCAACTTTTGCTGACAGAAGTAATAAAACACAGTTTATCAGGTTTTAGAGGGTGACAAAAATCTAGCTGATTCTCTGACAATTATCGTGTCACCTGGGCGTTTGAAGCAAGCCAAGCAGCTCTTTGAATTACACTTAAAGCAACAATATGTAACATTTTTACAATAAAACAACAGCTTCAAAATCATTTTGAGGGCACACTGATTTGTAATGAGGCAAACTGTGCCCCTGCCATTGCCTGGATTGTCTGTTATTACACTATGTAATTTTGCAATCTCATCCCGGAGAACTGATTTACAACACCACGTCACGCAACTACCATGTGTTATACCCTTCAGCTAGCTTGGCGTTCTTATGGGGCATTCTATGAAATATTTCATGTAGGCTGTAACCCTGTCGATGTCATCCCCTGTCTTACAGAGACTTGTAGTTTTTTTTTCCAGATGTAAAAAGACCTCAGTCCTTCAAAGAAATAAAATCATTTCTTACGAGAAAGTTTGGTAAGTCTTGGGTAGTTTCACATTAGTGACACATCCACATGTACCACTGTCCATGAGAAGGGGTCAAAGTGCAACTGGTATTTACAACGGTTGTGTAAAATTGAATTAGACTCAGCAACTAAGGTGGAGCCAAAGAGCAAAAGTACCAATTGTTACTTATTGGGGCTTTAAATGTCAATCATAGGAATACTGTAGTAATTAAAAAGAAAAACAAAACAAAAACAAATGTAAAACTCAATTTAAATTTACTAAACTATGGTCTTTGCTGTTGCTCTACAATTTTCTTTCCCCATTTCACTAGATTTTAGCTCTGTACTTAACTTCCATCATGTATGCCATTCCTTGTACTATTTCTGCTTAAACCCCTAGTGTGTGGGGATATCAGGCTGCCATTGCTCTACATGTTGCTGTAGGCAATGAGTGTTTAGCCTGAGCTTAGACTACATGATGGGCTCTTACAAGCAGGTTGCTTGTCACGTCCCCCGGGTGACAACCCTGACTAGAATAACAGCAAGTGTGTGTTACCAGGGTGCAACAGGGTAATAAGATAAACAACTGAGAGCTCTATTTTTCTCTTGCTAGACCCCATTCCCCATTTATCTATCTTTCTTCCTCAACAACTGTATATCCTTTTCATGTATTTGTTTCCATTTCTTTTACAAACAAACACACAGTTGTTCCATTCTCCTCTCAGATTTAACATCACTTCAAGCTGCCTCTGCTCTACTCCAGTTCTGTGACCTTCAGTCAGAGCTGGCAAGGGGCCTGGGGACTGTGGTGAACTCAGCTTTCATCAGGTTTCTCATATTGTTGTTACAGTGTGGCTTACAGCAAAAATAACATTTTGCTCCTACCACAGCCCCTCGACCTGGCTATAACCCCTAAGCACAGCAAAAGGGTATGAATAAGTCATAACAAATGAAAGGGTAGGAAACAAAAACGTATCTTATGGCACAGCTCTAGCATTATGCTTCAATGCTCAATCTACAACTGCAGTGACACCCTCAGATAAAACAACGTCACTGAACACTTGTTCAGAAAACAGAATGCACTGTAAATCACATCCACACCATTTAGTACAAAACATATGGATCAAACTTTAAATATAACTCTTATTTAGTATAGTGTGAGAGCAGCTAAGGGGGCAATTCTAAGACAAACAATGGTCAGCAGTCTTACGCAAACAACAGTGTCCATGTGAAGGCCATTTCACTGAGCTGTTTGTGAGAGCATTGTAGGGCATAATCAAAACACTTTCAGTCCTGCATAATGAACTACTGTGCTTCTGTACTCACAGTACTGCAGTGCTACACATGTATGTACGCGCACACACACTGTGTTTTCATTCCTTGTGGGGACTTTACATTGACTTACATTCATTTCCTGTAGACTTATCCTAACTTTAACCATAGCCACTACTTGCCTAACACTTACCCTAACACCTAACCTCATCCTAACCCTAAACCATGTTGCCACCCTAAAATTCAGTGGATGGCCGGGACCCCACAGTGCGAGTGTGTTAACAGGTTTCAGTCCTCATGATGTAAGTAATACAAAGGCACACACACACACACACACACACACACAGATGTGTTCATGAAAGTATCATGCATGTGAAGTAAAAGCGGCTATAAATAATATATAAAGAGGAGGCACACATAAAAATACACACACACACAGAGTTTGGAGACAGCCCGGGGATGAAAATATGCTGCACAAATAAGAAAATAGATGCAACTGTCTGTAGCTGTTTCATTAAGATTGTAACAAACCTTGACAGAATATAAGTACTGTACATGTTGTTTTATGAGGCTACAGCTGTTTCTCTATTCCTTTCACACCTCAGCAAGCCTGAATAACAACTTGAACTCCATGTATAATTTACAAATCTCTTTTTTCTTTTGTCATTTCTCACTTTGTCTGTCGTCCCCCCACCCTCCTCTGCTGGCTCTATTGACTTCTGACATAGCTAGTGTTCCCGTAGGCCTCACTAATGGCAACCCTCTGTGTCACTTGCCAGTGCTTAATGCTGTCTTTTTACACAGTTCAGTTTCCACACACTGCAACACGGCTAAATTTGGAGGGATGACAAAATGCGAGTTAATGGAGGACCAAGCCACATGCTCTTTTCGACAGCGTCCATGTCAGTAACCGACTTGAGGGCTGAGAAGCAACGCAGCAGCCCTTTGTTTAGAAACACTTGTCTTCATGTCAGCATCATTTATACAGAACTCTTGTAACAATTCCTCATGTGAAGCACAAACGTTGGACATCTACAATGTTTCTATATGTATGCTGTCTGAAGGTTTTAAAAGCCTGCAACAAAGTTTGATGGGACATTCAATGGATGACAAGGCTTATTTCTCTGAGCACTGTTTGATAGGACACAATGAAAGCATCATGAATTGATACTTTGCCTTCTACAGTCATAACAGAGAACTTTTTCATTATTCTAACCATAAAAGCTAGGCCAATGGACACACATTTTATCGCATACTGTATGAGGACAAAGGGTTCACCTGTCCCAAGTGACAACAGACATGGGTTGATAGCAAAGTGGTCATCACAAGTAATAACTATGACCTGGGACTTGGGATGAGTACTTTAGATGCAACTACATCAGGGGCATTTAAAATCCTAAGCTTGGTGTGATCTGATTCTGTATTTCTCTCCTCATGACAAATAGCACTATTTCCCCTAATTGTCATCTCTGCAGATGTCTGCATTCATTACTCCTGCAGGCACCATGTCTGGGTGATTGAGCAAGAGGGAATGAGAAAGAACATTTCCATTTTCATTCCGAGTGATGGCTTTTTATCTATAGCTAGCTGATCAGAGTGTTTCATGGGGCCAAGGCTAAAGGTTTACCTTCAGTATCGGCACTTTTAGGCCCCACCTGTGCTTAAGACACGGGACAGGTGTCCTGATTGACCTGTTTAAGCACCTGTCACTGATTTACCTATCAGGCAGTGGCTGTGCATGCTTGCAAGCTGCTCATGCATGGTGGTTCTTAACATTGAGTTAACATAGACAATACAGTATCCTCCAAGTAACTGTTTCTGCTGTTATTTTTATTTTTTTGTAACTAAATGAGTTTTGTGTCTATGCAGGTCAGCACATGCTGAGCAGAATGACCCATATGCTAAACTAAAAGAGGACAGCATGAGGGGTGCTGGCAAAGCAAATAATAATAATAAAAAAAAAAGAGCAGTAGGCATACATGTGGTGGCCTTTTTGTGTCCCCTTCCCTTCCCACCTAAATTCTCTCAAGGATAACATATAAAGTATGATTGATCCTACAGGTATTGGAACTTTACAGTCATTGCTAGCCCACCATAAAGTAGAGTACTGACAGTCTCGGAAACACTGAAAGAAACAAAAAAAGATGTACCTTAACACCAGAAAAACTGCCACTAGGCTAAATGAAAACCCCAATCTTACACAGTTTCAATGAAAAATAAGCAGTATTATTTAGTAACAGTATTATTTACTGCAAGGCTTTTGTTTTGGTCAGTTCTAGATTGTACAGCGTCCACTTGGGAATACCTTTAATTTGTAACAGTATGCCAATTTGGGTCCAGGAAAAACTGAAACATGTGCAGAGGGTTAGGTGCCGTCTGTTACGCTGCCATCCAATAATTCACTTTCCTACCTCATTTCAGACATAGTAGTGCTATTACTGCAGTCTCACGTTTGTTAGACCAACATCACTGACCAACAAAATAATGACTTCACCATAAAACAAATGGTGGTGGTTTCTACAAATGCAAGACAAGTGTTGTCTTCCATTTGGCTGGCTTCATTTATGACATCTGCCTTTATGACTTAAGTTCCTAGTGTATGTCAAGCATGCAGAGGTTACATTGATTTAAAAAACACAAACCAATGCAGCATAAAAATAAAAAATATCTGAAATATCAGCACTGACAAAACATTATGCAGTATAATGTTTCTTGATTATTAATATTAAATTAGCAGTACATGTTTTTAGAGGTATAAAGGCAGTTTTCATATATGTAACATATCCGCTGACGATAAGTGCTACGATAACTGCAAACAGACTGCAGACAAGAATATAATAAACATATTTCCAGTTAAACAGAATCTATTTCTAATACAAAATTCTCTACCTGAGAGTCTGATCAGGGTTTTTCCAGCCTGGGCATACTGCCAGCTGTGATTATCCAGTACTGCCATTGTAATCCAAGACCAGCGACAAACCGTCCCAATCAATCTAGGCCTACATATACACTACAACATACTCAGGACTACTGCAGTTATCACCCTACCGGTTCTAGTTTTCGAACAGTACCATTGTTGCATGGCGAGAAAGCAACTGAACAACAGCTGTGCCATATAACGTACTATACTGGCCAACGCCCTCCCACCCACTGTGGTGGAGAAAACCAAAGGCACTGCCAGCTCCTTCCATCCTTCACCAACTGGCTTTTCTTTGGCATGTCCCCCATGTCACCAGCCCCTCCCCAGAACAAGATTAATAACAAGTGCTACTTTGCATTAAATGGTTTCTCCCCTCCCTGTTTGTCTGCCGAGTTACTCACAGGATTAAAAAAGTTAAGCCAGCCAAACATTACAATACTGGTGAATTTGTGGGTGAAGTAGGCTTTAAAGTGCCCATGGCATGCTCTTCTGTATTTTATGATTTGATCATCGTAATTGTGACTGAAAGCTCAAAAAATGAGGTGTACCTGTGTTGTTGTACTTCTATGCAAAAGCAACACGGTTTATACAAGTCTAGCAAACTCTCGCTGGCAAGACTTTTTTTTCCAAGTATATGTAGTTTTACGCAATAGTTTACGGATTTCCTGGAATGGTCATATTCTCCAGGCTGTACGCGCTCATGCAAGCTTGCCTGACAACAACACTGTCATAATAAACCACCAGTGGATGCCAAAATCCGCTGGTGGTTTATTACATCAGTTGCAACAAGTTTTGAATTAGTCCTCTAACAATATATTATTTTAATTGTTTTTAGAAAGTTGGGGCAAGAAATGTACAGAAGCACAAGTAATCAATTCATTCATTTACAGTATATTCACATGCCTAGCTTTTATTTTTTTTACCCTTTATGCCATCTTTATGTCAGTGAGCCTCAAACACACTCAAATAACACCTTCATCTGTGCACAGATTCATTGAGACCTAATTATCTTTGTGTTTCCCCCTTTTATGAGCATGGCTAAATCCACTTCAAATACTTATCCACCTTTTATAAAACTGTTGCTCTCTTGGGAGCCAACAGACAGAGCTCATTCACTGCTGACACAAAGAGAAATTAAGCTTCCCATTATTTTTTCCAAACTGAAGAAAACTGATAAGTTCATAAAATGTGTTCTGCAAAACACAGAGCTCAAAAGTCATGATTCAACAATTTAAACTCCTGTGATTAATGTGCATCAGCAGCCAAGCTGCTGCTGCTGCTGCACATTGTCTTGATATGAAGATGTAGACATAATGGACGGACAGTTTTAAATCATGTGCATGTGTTTTTGACACATCAAAAAAAGTCTAAAAGCATGAACATAAAACTTTCTTATTTTTTAGATATTCTACTATTCTCTCTACAGCAATTTCTTGGACTGCCTACCAAATCTGTTAACTGTCTGACATGGTTCCACAGCCAGCTGACCTCTCCTGTGCCTGAGAAAGCCCATGTAGTGAAAATGAAATAACATGATCAGACCAGCCATGTCCAGTGTCATAGATAAGACGGCTTCTAAAAGGTTTGGAAAGTGAATCAAATTGTTATATATTCAAGCACACAGTAAGTGAAAGCTAACTACTGTAAACTAGCTTGTTGATGATCTTTTGGTCTTGTCTTGTGTGTGAGAGCTGACGGTCTTCACTTGTCCCTGTGAGTTGAAAGTTCTGTATTATTGCCTACACATACGGGTCACATATCTGACTTGTCTTGTTGGAATGAATACAGTAACCGAGAAGGATTGCCACCTCTCAGAGGGAGACAGGGAGGTGAGGGAATCAGCTGAATCAAGTATATATAGATGAGTGACTGAGTCTTCTGCCTTTCTTCATGTTATAATGACCTCTAGACAAACAGTTACATGCAAAAGTTTGGACTCCAGGCAAATTTTGTTAAATTTTGAAGTGAAAGGACACACACTCTCACTGCACAATGACCTTTATTTTCTTTTTCAATTATTTTTACTCTATCGTTTATTACTGGCCTATTATGGCTTCAGCATTTACTATAAGAACCTTATTAATATAAATGAATTAGCAAAAAGAAGTTCTTCACTCTTACTAAAAGACAGTGGCTTACTATAGCCTTTCTCTATGAACTCCATATACTATCTCAGTGTTGCATACTGTAATGTAGCAGAGAGAGAATAAGAGTAGAGAGACCATGAGGGATTGTGAGAGGGCTAAACAAGAATAAAAGCCCTTTTCAGCATTGAACACCCATGCACATCTGTCTGCTTGTAAGCCCACAACGGTATATACTACAATCTCACTGGGCAGCCAGCTGAATCACATCAACACATCAATGAAGTAGAGAGGAGGACGGTTTGTACAGCTCAGGGAACACCATTCATCAGCTTCCTCTAACAAAACTGTGCTCCAATTGTCCCGGCACACAACAAAACCAAGCCAATAAACCACAGCAGACCAAATAACAATTGACAGGCAGGGTGCAGACGGGAGAGAGAAAAGAGGAGAGTGTGTGCTTCTGTGGTCCACTGTGTATCTAACTGCCTCAGAAGAAAAGATGAGGACAGAGAGG